CCCAAACCCGCAACCCTGAAAAAAGAACTTTTATTTTGGTGAAGATGCCATCCATTTGTCTTCTCTCCATCTTAAAGAATGTCAGATGCAGAAGATAAGGTTGGATAATCTTTTAGTTTTTCCCCCTCCAAATATGGATGCTATGCAGTAGGATGTTAGGACAAATATCAGCATTCACGGAATCATAGTTATTGTAATGAAGATTGTTTATTAGTTCTGAGACATAAGAAGTACTTCTTTCTGAAGTTTGTTGGCTTATTAACCCACATACTCGGGACAGGTTCTTATTCCAGCTCCCTTTTGGGTGAGTTACCCTGAAATGGCAAGGATGGCAGATGCAACGCCTGTGATTCTTCCGACCGGCATATCTGAAGATTTTCTCTTAGATCCAAAGCTTCTTGAATCTAAACTTAGTGAGAAGTCAAGACTTCTGATTCTTTGTTCTCCATCCAACCCAACAGGGTCTGTTTACCCTCGGAAATTGCTTGAAGAGATTGCTGAGATTGTTGCTAGGCATCCGAGGCTTCTTGTAGGTTCATCATATCTAACTCAACTTGAATATGAATGTGATCTCAATCTGTATTCTGAACCTTAACTACCTGCTTCCTGCCCCCAAAAATATGTATTCTGGTTTGCAGGTGATATCAGATGAAATTTACGAACACATTATTTATGCACCAGCAACCCATACTAGCTTTGCATCTTTGCCTGGTATGTGGGATAGGACTCTCACTGTAAATGGTTTCTCTAAGGTAATGCAGCTCTAATCGCATGAACATTATAATTTTTTATCCTTGCGTTTCTTGAAATCCTTGGTGATGGCTATTTCCGTTGAGACATGCGGAAGCATTTCTGGAGGTGTGCCTTATAAAATATGCATTTTTGTAGGCATTTGCGATGACTGGATGGAGACTTGGCTATATTGCTGGTCCTAAACATTTTGTTTCTGCATGTAATAAGATCCAGAGCCAGGTAGCATTTTATATTCTTAACAACTATATTGACTTAAATGAATGTGGTCTTTCTTCTTCAGAACTCTTATTTAAAGTTAAGAGGTCTGGTAACTGAGTTTCATTGTTGGATTTAGTTTGAGATGATTGACAGAAATCCTAATTTGACTGCTAGTGCTGTGAAGAGCAGCAAGCCCTCGTGCTGTCACCTTAGTTGACCAGTAACCACTTTAAGAATTTCAAACGTCATTACTGTAGTCGCCAATAGCTGTGTGGTACATAGTGTTTACCTGTTCGTTGAAGTCTTACTATGGATTTAAATGGCTCTTGTTAAGTTGGTGTCACCACATCTCTTCTATATATATTAATTAACGTATGCACCTGCGAAAATAATTGGTGTTTGTCACTAGTCTGTAGTTTCTACAAGAGTCCTAAATTCTTTTTTAACTTACCTGGATATTTTCATCTTATTTTTGAGTATATGTGAACATTTCAAAACATGTTGAATGGGCCCAGAAAGACTAAGCTATCAAAGGCCTGTGACTGGATTTTGCTGAAAACACTTATATATAAACAATGTCATAGCTTTCTTCTGAAGGCATAAATAGAGATCTTAAAAAACTTGTGAAGCTAAAAGCTTGTTAATTTAAACAACGTGTCATGTTGCATTTGATCACAAATGATTACTGATAAAACCAGTTTTCTTCCTATCATACTTATTGGATTGTGGCTAATATATGCATTGAAGTACTTTCCTTGAATATGATCTTTTGTTTGGCCATACTTAACCTATTTAATCTAGACCCATTGAAAATAGTAAAATTCAATGTCTAAATAACATGCTTCATATTATCCACTGTCTCTTTCCCTCCGTTTGAATATTCACTTCTAAAGCTATTTCTCTGCTGTTTTCAGTTCACATCAGGTGCAAGTAGCATCTCCCAAAAAGCAGCTGTCGCTGCTTTGGGACTTGGCTATGCTGGTGGAGAAGCAGTTGCAACTATGGTAAAAGCATTTCGTGAGCGACGTGATTACCTTGTCAAGAGCTTTGGGGAAATAGATGGTGTCAAAATTTCAGAGCCTCGGGTAACAGTCCATTAATATGAATTATGAGTGTATTTAAGAGCAAAGGACTTACAAAGTAGAGAAACAGGATATATTGAGCCCACTTTCTGTTTTCTTTTGCAGGGAGCTTTCTATCTATTTATTGATTTAAGCTCTTATTATGGAGTAGAGGTTGATGGATTTGGCTCCATCAATGACTCAGAATCTCTTTGCCGATATTTGCTGGATAAAGCTCAAGTAAGATTCACGGTTTTTTGAACTTTGAAAAGCATAATTACATACTGACAGATGTGCAAGATGTTTAGCTAACTATAAGCCAGAAGTTGTTCGCACTAAAAGTGACTTGCATTACAGTCTCTTGACATTTTTTTCCAGAAAATACGAATACTGTAACTTCTTACTACTTTCACCATGTGAGTGAGCAATCTACTTGAGCATCTAATATAGGGATTCTGCAGAAAAGGTTTCCACCTTCACTATGTCACTATGGATTGTTAGGCAAATATGATCAATAATTGATAAAAAATCCAGAAAGACAATCCTAGAAAAATCCCATAGTTTGTCGTGGTTTAGTGAATGTGCATTACGTTAGGATGCTAGTACCGGCCTTGCCTCCCATTTTTTTTTCTGCATGTCCTAAATCCTAATGCCTGCGCCTCTCTCTTACCATTAACAGGTAGCGCTTGTCCCAGGAGATGCATTTGGGGATGACACATGCATCCGTATCTCCTATGCAGCATCCCTCTCGACCTTGCAGGCAGCAGTGGAGAGAATCAAGAAAGCATTGGTTACTCTTAGATCTCATGTCCCAGTTTAAAACATGCATCAATTATAATTTGAATGCACCAACAGACAAAAGGTTGTATAATAGTTTGTAGTCTGACCTTCCATGTTCTGTCATTTCATGTATTCTTAAGTGCATTACTGCCAATTATTTTTCCCGGATCTTGATTTAAGTTGTTGATTTTGTGTGCACATTCTGAGTTGATGATCAAAAATGCAAATAATTGAGTCTGGATTTTCTTTGTTTTTGTATCCGGCGTAGAGCCCTTTCTAAATATTTTTTTCCATACTGAATGATTCAGTAATTTGCTCATTTACTATTGACTTTTGCTTAACTATATATATGCCTGTGTTAGAAGTTGGTAATACAAATTCTCTCGTCGTTAATTTAAAAGAGGGTAACTCGACCAGAAAGTTCAATTTCATATTAAAGTGATGACGCCACATTGATGAATTTAATTTATTTATGTTTCACTTTCTGAATCCTTCAGAAAGTGGATTATGATTATAATTTAATTTATTTATTTTGATTATATTTTCTTCCGAAATAAAGTTTGACATAATTTAACGGGTCAAAAAAGAGTTAACGTGTGATATGGTGCCATGTGAGCATACGTGCCCCACTTTTCTGGTAACGTTTTAACTAACGGAAGAGAACAGGGAATTGCTTATCTTGTTGGACTTCCCCTTTGCTTCAACTCTATTAACAAAATAAAAATGCTAACTATTAGGAGGGTTATACTATTTTTAACCTCTCAAAAAAGCATTAGTGTGTGCATGTTTATTTTTCGAATCAGTCGTCTACCTTTCCCTTTAGTTAAATAAAAAAAACGTACCATTTTATTTTTTATTTTTTATATTGCCATTCAAACCTGTATCTTTTTATTCTTTTTCTTTTTCTTTTATATTATGTTCATCTTGAGTCCAACGTAAAATTTTAATTTTGCAGAGCTGAACTATTTTAGCGTTACCAAGTATTAAATCTTTTCAGAAATACTTTTATAAAGTTGTACTTTGTTAAAAAAAACTTTTTTATGCTTTCTAAATATTCATGTTTGATAATTAGATATAAGTTGATCATTTTCCATCTTAACTTTTAAAATGGTCAAGTTTGTCCTCAAACTGGAAAAGGCATATTAATTCTACTTAAGACAAAGAGCATACTGGCAAAATATCCAATTACTAGAGAATGCAATTTTATATCGGAATAAAAGAATAGGTTCACGTTAAATTATTGATTTTGAAAACATTTCTATTGTATGTAAAAAAAAAAAAAAAATTGGCCGAAACTAAATGCATTCACTAGCCGGAAAGTGTATAAAAATGTATATCTTTTTATATAATACACATATATACAAAAGTTATATATTTTATCGGCTAATATTTTTAGAAACGACTAAAAATATACATTTTAGCGGCTAATATTATGTGCAATTAATACCAAGGACTAAGGAGGCTAGGAAATTAAGGGAATGTTTCCTATCTAACTGGAATTCCTTAACAAAGGACATCATCACGTAGAAGCTAAGGACAACTTTGTCCAAACATCAAAACTTAGTCTAACTTGAATTACAAGACAATCTACCAATTAATGTCCCTCTCACACATGCAAGAATATTCTTCAATCTTTACATTCTTTTTCTTCCCCTTCCCATGCATTCTTCTTTCATACATATATATATATAACAAAGAAACCATCATTTAATTTCCATCACTTCATCAAACAACAAGCTATCGTACAACTTGAATATCAAAAAAACAATGGCAATTCCTACCATTTCAAGCAACAAAAGGGCACCAGAGATTGTGTTTTTCGACTTGGAAACGAACGTTCCATCAAAAGCAGGACAGAAATTCTGGGTGTTAGAGTTTGGTGCAATGGTAATATGTTCGCAAAAGCTTGTGGAGATTGAGAGCTACTGCACCCTTATTAGGCCAGGGGACTTGTCTGTTGTGGCATTAAAGCCAGGGAGAAGCGATGGAATTTCGCGAAAAGCGGTTGCTAATGCACCTTCATTTGAAGAAGTTGCAGAAAAGATATTCAGCATATTGGATGGTAGGATTTGGGCAGGTCATAACATACAGAGATTTGATTGTGTTCGTATTAAGGCAGCTTTCGCTGAAGTTGGTCGTCCTGCACCTGTTCCTGCTGGAATTATCGATTCTTTAGGTGTATTGTCTGAGAAATTTGGCAAAAGAGCTGGAAATATGAAGGTATATATGCACATTCAGAAAAATACATATATATATATATATATGCTTATCTCTTTGTCAATATAAAGTTCAATTTTGACCATTATTGCTTCTTAAATCATCTTTGTTGTAGATGGCATCATTGGCAACTTACTTTGGTCTTGGGGAGCAAAAGCACAGGTTAGATTGAAACACTTAGAAAATATGGTCTAAAATTTACTAATTTTTGATGAAATTGGATGCTAATTTGAATTGTATGTCATGAATGGCAGGAGCTTAGACGATGTTCGGATGAATTTGGAAGTCCTAAAACATTGTGCAACAGTTCTATTTCTTGTAAGTACTATCTTAGCAGAACTTTGCAATTTGATCTTTATTTGATTATATATTTTGGTTTAATGCGATTCTTTTCTACTGTTAGGAATCAAGTCTACCAGATTTGTCCAATAAGAATTGGCAAGGCACATCCAACATTACTACGAGAAGTAGAAGCCAAGTGGTATGCATGTATAAGCTAGTTTATGTTGGATTAATTTTGACTAGTTGTTGAACTAAAATTTATTGAATTAAATTTCTTCAGCAAAATCTCCCGAGTTGTTCGATTGATAGGTGGCAAAATACTTCCTCAATTACAACTAGGAGCGGTAGCAGAGGGAAATTCCCGTGCAGAGAAGAAACAAGCCGGAAATCTCCTCCATCGACAACTTTTGGATACCAAAGAGCTGTTCCTTATGCAAGGCAAAGCTTGGGAAAGGTTGAATATAACTTAAAATTTAAATACTTATGTGCATGATTGGTATTCATTTCTGACATTTGGAATTCATTAGATGACTGCAGGTGTGAGGAATTTCTTATGTAAAGCTCAAAACAAGCCTCTAAACAATTTATTAAAGCATTCACAGACTCTTTTCCGATGAACAAGCTGAAGAACAGATCCTGCTCATCAAATGTTTTGGATAAGTTTGAAAATATTCAAGTCACAAAATGGACTGTGATTGATTCTGTGAAATTGATTTAAAGTTTGGAAGCTAAGAAGATTACATCAAATTGTCTAGTTGCTTATTTCCAGTTTCTAAGTTGCAAGGCTGTGGACCTTGTCATCTAACCAATTTCTATTCTTTAGTTACTGATTCTTTCATTCTTTCAGTTGTGGACTTATGTTAATATTTAATTTGTACGTCCCAATAAATAAATTCCAACTGATATTCTTTGATTCTATATACTTGTGTTTTATTCCCCTTATTTTCTCAGTTATGAAAATAGTTCGGTGGAAGAAATCATTTATAAAATATGGTCCCTCTTCTAGATTGTTAATTCTATAACATGTTGCACGTAATTGTAAAAGCTTTCGATCAGTTTGAATCTTTGAACCAATCTCTCCAACGAGAAGGCTGTCTTATTGGCGGATTGGAGCGCGCGTTTTAGTTATTGAATTTGCAGCTAAATATTTATATATATTTGATAGATTTTCTAATATAAATATAAGGTCTAAACATAATCTATTGGGTTCATCTAGGGGTGTCAAGGTTGGGCCGTTACCCGTCAAAAGTTTCTTGGATTGAGATGGACTAGGTCAAGATAGGCTAAAATTTGGGTCATAATCCAACTCGCCCAAAAGTTACTTGGGTTGAGATGGGACGTGCTAAGATAGGCTAAAATTTAGGTCATAGCCCAACCTGTCCAACTCTTATCAAGCTTTACTTAATGCGTGTTGTTTTCTTATCAATTGTATAATTGCTAAATAAGACCGTTTTTATTTTGTTATGGTCATATATAACATATCAATCAAAAAAAATTCTAAAATATTTTGGTTACTCATGGATTTATTTGGGCTAAAAAGCAGCCCAACTTTAAATGGGTTGAGATGAGTTGAGTCAAGATGGACTGAGTTCAATAAAGGAATTTTTACCTCCTATAGCAAAGGTTAACACCTTATTTTTTTTAAATAAATACCATTTAAAAAAATTATATTCTATAGATACCTTTTAAGGTTTATAGCAAAATATTTAATTTTGGTTACCTCCTAGCCCTAAGCCACTAAATATGCTATTCAGTTACACTATTTTCTTTCTCTCTCTACTTTGATACATCCAATTCTCTTGCCCCATTCTCTGAAAACACGATGCTCTCACCCACACTATTTTCTTTTCATTCCGATCAATTCTTGCACCGAGTATTTGAATTGCAATTTCTCTGTCATCAATTCTCGCCACGGGTTTCGTTCACATATTGCCCGATGCATTCGAGAGCTTGCCCTTGCCTTCCTGAAAAACCGTGGGGTGATTTCCCTTTTGCAGGGTTTATAGCAATAGTTGCGGCAATTGGGACAATGATGGTGGATTTGGTAGCTATGAGTTATTTTAGGAGATCAAGAAAGGAGATTTCTCTGTTAAGGTCACTAAAAGCAAATCAAATCCCTAACCAAATCACTAAAAGCAGGTAATGAAAATAAGAAGACGCGTGTTGTACCTTCAAATCTCAAAGATGTCGCGTGTTGTATCTGCAAACGTTGCTACGGCGGATTCGCCGGAAATTAGGGTTTGTTCTTGAACAAAGACGACGGAGTTTGGGGCTGAGCAACTTATTTTCTGTTAATATATTTCAATGTATTTTCATGTATTTCATTGCATTCATTGTCTTTTTTTTTCATTGTAATTCAATGTATCTCGTTGTATTCCATGTATTTCATTGTATTCACTGTCTTTTTTTTCATTGTATTTCAATGTATCCCGCTGTATTCTATGTATTTCGTTGTATTTACTGTCTTTCTATATGCCAAGAATGTATTCATATGTTTTTTTTTAATTAATATAATTTATGTATTCAGATGTATTATATAATTTCTCTAAAGATTGCTATGTTTCTGGGGTATTTTTCGGTTGAGAATCTTTTTTATAACTGAAAATACAAAATTTGTATGTTATAATTGAGTTTGTTGAGTTATATTAGGAGTCTATTATGTTAATTGATTTACTTTCCGTTTTAAAAACAGTGTAATCCGCTATTTCATGCCGTGAATACAGTCGAATACAATAATCTGTCCAGCTGTAATCCCATGTTTCACTCCATGAATACAGTCGAATACACTCGAATACAACAACTGATTAGCTGGACTTCCCTGATTCACGCCTATTTTTGCTACTGTATTCATGAATACAATAGCTTAAATACATCAAATACATCTTATAACCACAGAAAAGGTATCTATAATCCGTAATATAGCAAATGGTATCTATAGATGACTAATTACTACTAAAAGATAGTGCTTTATGAAAATTTCTCTTCAATAAATAGGGGGGAGGGAGGGGGCGGGGGGTCAATTACCAGCCCAACCTGTTGAGCGGGTCATTTGGGCTTGGGCCAAATTTGACCGCCCTAGGTTCATCCAAACTCGTGGCTAACATTGTAGCTCCACCCTGTCTATATGTGCTTTCTCCAAGGCCGACAAGAGCCGCTTATCTTGAGCTTCATAAAAGCGCTAGCTAAAATGTGAAACATACTTAACACCTTAATTGGGGATTGAATTGAAGACCACCCAATGTATGCAAAAATACTCACATATATTACATTCATACTGCAACATAAATATATGTTACAACATAATAACGTTCAATTCAAGCCAGCTGATTGAAATCCAATAGCTCTTCAAAATAATAACGTTCATTTTCTTTGAGTGATAGGGAGCAACAATATACTATTAGCTCCATTTGTTATTGTTCCCTTGAATATACATACTGAAGAAGTTTAGGACCATATGAGTGAGGCTAGCTAGGCCTCAAATTAACAAGCATCAAACCATATTTAAAGATGAAGCATGCATGCTCTTGCTAGTCAAACATGCTTCAATGGCTTCTCCAATGGTCAAATAGACCCTCCCTTCAATTTTCTTCACAAATTTGGCTAACCTCAATTTGTGGATCACATGCCACCTTGGGTTCGCTAGTGCCAACTGCAAAAACCAAAGATAGGAGAGTCCTTTGTTATTTTTCCTTTTTCAAGAGTAGAGTCTGGTCTGGATTAAGAATAAGACATATATAATTGAAGAGGATTAGTCACCTTCATTCCATTTGATTCCAGCTCATTGTGAAGTTCCTCTAGAGCAGCTATACTAGATGTATCAATGTTGAGCAAATCTATATCCATCACCATTTCAATATAAATGAATAACAAAGTCAAAAAATTAAACTATACTCCACTATATAGCTAAATTTATGTAACTCGGACACGTACTTGACATGTCAAGGATAACTAGTTGCACTTTATCTTCAGCACTTTCTATGGCATCCTCATTTTGTTCTTCCTGTGCCAAGTTCAATATCCTGAATTATAAACAATAGAAGACATTAAGATCAATTAGGTATATATAAGAGTAAAAAGACCAAAAAAATTCAAAATAAATAAGAAGATGTTAGAGTGTTTGTTTGTAGTTTGAGGACATACTTAGCTCTAATGAAGTTGGCATTAGCAAAACAAAGCAAAGCAGACTTGACTCTGACAATGAGAGCTCCAGGTATCTTCATTGCCATGGGATATTGGTTCACATCTCCAAACAAATCACTCCCCGGAAGCCTTCCTAATTTTTCTGTCCCCGGCTGGATTGAGTTTAGAATGACCTTTGCAAATGATATACCAACCTGAAATATAGAATATATCCCCGCGCATAGCGGGAGCTTAGTGCACCGGGCTGCTTTTAATATTATATGTAGATTAATAAAGCTGGAAAAGAAAAGGAAGAAGTTACCGCGAGGAGCAGGCCAATCTCTACAGACACAAAAAGGACACCAAAAAATGCAGCAGTGCAAGTAAGGAAGTCCATTTTATCAACTTTCCAAATGTATTTAGCTTCACTTAGGTTGATTAGTCCAGGTAAAGCAGAAAGTATAATGGAAGCAAGAATGGCTATTGGAGTGAAGTACAATAGCCTTGTGAAAAATTCTAGTGATATTAGCACTGTTACAGCCATCACTATGTTGGATACTGCAGTTTCACAACCAGCACTGAAGTTGACTGCAGTTCTTGAGAATGAACCTGCATCCAGTGAGTTTTCAAGCATATGATTCATGGTATCCCAAGCAGCGGCGTAGCTAGGAATATCGTTAAGGGTGTTCAAACTTTAGGAAGATTTTAAAAAATTCAATAATAGGCGCACCAAATTAAAAGTTCAAATCAAACCGCATAATAGTATTTAGCTAAACCATAGAAACACTAATAATAGAACTAACAATTGTATACATCAAAACTAATGGTATATATATATAAGTTAAGAAAAATACTACTAGTAAAAGCATTACTATATATTATGAGGTACGTTGATTAGAAGAATAATCACACATAAAATCGTAACCCAAAGATATATAATTGGGACAATATAATCAGACTAGTTAAATAAAAGTGGAAAAAAAATAACAACTAATAATATATATTATTAGTTGGAGTTTGAACAAAATAATTTTCTATGGTCAACAATCATACAATTCATACAATAAACTAATAGGGAATACCTAATGTGGAGGATAAATTAGAAACTATTCTATGGTGGTAAGGTGTGATCATACGAGCAATACTGGAAAAAGGGTCAAACATTTAACCTATAATTATATTCATCTAACCACCTTGCAATAGTGTAACTCGGCCACTGATCCCAACTATATATATATATATATATACACTAAAACACACGAGAAAAGGTTCCGATTTGTACCTCAGAGGGGCCATAATTTGCAATTCTTTTATATTGAATTTCTTGAGAAAACAACATTAGGAAGTATGGATTGGCTTGTTGAAGAGGGGTGGATAATTGTGCTCGGTGGCTCTACTTTTTTTTTTTTTCCAGTTAACAATGATGTTCAAATCAGCTTGTACGCATTTAATTTTATCAATCACTTCATCATCATAGATATCAAGTAACTCTCGGCACACAAGAATTAAAGCCGATGCATGAAATCACCTATTCCTGCTTTTGTTTCGACAGATGAGTTAAAAGTTGACTCCTAAAGTGGAGTAAATGGTAAATTTAAGGGTTAAAAGTACTATTTACTCATTATTTTGTTTTTGGCTTCCTTCCATTTTTTCAATTTCATATTTTGCCGGCCATAACTTTTATAAGTTACACGTTGAGCAACTCTATTAAAGAACTTGTGAAAACAGCACGGATTAGCCAGTTTTCTGACTGATAATTAAAAAATAGCCCGCGTTTGCAAAGTCATTAAAATATAGCTACTATTTTGCCTCAACACGAAAAATTCTAGCATAATATACTGGAGATTGGTGCACCTGTGTATGAACTTCATCATATTATGCTGGAACTCCAACACACAGAAAGTTCCAACATAATATACTGGAGATTGGAACACCTGTGTATGAACATCTAGCATATTACGCTGGACCAGTATATTATGCTGAAATATTTTTCGAATTTTGAACAATGTTTTCGTTCAGATTTATCCTTACATGAAAAATGGCTAGATTTCGAAACTGTGGCTATTTTTCAACTACCATTTGTAAGTCTGGCTATTTTTGAATTTCATCCAAACAACTTTAATAAATAAAAGGAATCCAAGGAGAGACTAATTAAAAGACTAACCAGTTGCAACATAACAAGAAGTTAAAGATCCAGTGATATTCATAACACCCATGGCCAGCATTTCCTTGTTTCCATCAAGTCGGTATCCTTTCATTGTAGCAAAGGATCGGCCTACAGCAATGGCTTCCTGGTAAATTAAACACGTTAAAATATACTGAAGGGATGTAATAAAAAGCTTTTTAAAGCCTGTATATATAACATCCGTAGATTGTCTAACTAATTAAAAAAAGAATGGACGTACTGTGAGAGCGATAAGTGCAACGATGAGCCCAATTTTGGCAGCTTCAGCAGTATGGGGACTATTGAACTGCAACTCATGAATGGAAGTCGGGTTCAAACCTCCAGTTATGTGCTTCACTATCTTAACACCATGTTTATCAGCTCTTGTCAAGAAAACAATTAATGTTGACAGAATTACAGATAGCAGTGGCGCCATTGCAGATAACAAGAAGAGTTTCTTGTGCTTTCTTGCCTGAAAAATCATGGTATATATTGGCACAATGCTGTTAGAAGTTTGATTATTTCAAATCAACATCAAATTAATTCATTATGACTATCTAATTATTGTTGTGTTTTCCTTATGGAGTATCATAAAAATTTAAACAAGCTGTATCATAATTCAAGAATATGACAATATAGTCTTTTGTGACTAAGAAAGTGCAGAAATAAGAGAAAATAATCTTGTTCAAGTAAGAAAGTGCATTTAATAGTATTTCCTCTCTGATGTTATAATTTTTTGTTATCCCTTTCTACAGGTTTAGGCTTATATGTGATAATATATCACAAGTTTTTTTTTATGTCCAAGTGAATCTTGTCAAGTATAGTCAGTGAATCTAGACATATAATGGATATATATAGCTACTTGCCAGATAGTACTTGGTAAAAAGGATGAAGATCAAGAATGAACTCCCAATCATAAAGCTAAAAGGATTCCACTGCCAAAACAAACACTGGAATAATTAGCTGTCTAATTGAGAAAAAAAAATCTAATATATATTAAGCTGTAGATATTAGTTGAGAGGACAAAAAACAACAAATTAATTTACAGTATGCATTGATTTGCTGATAGAAGTTAAGACAGAGATGATATCAGTATTGTTTGTAAACTTTGAAAGCCCAAGCAATGATTTGAGTTGTTGTAGACCAATCACACAAGCAGCACCAGCCATGAAACCAACAATAGCAGCATGTGACAGAAAATCAACTAGAAATCCCAACCTGTAAATTATAATATCACTACACAATCAGCACAACCATCCATTAAAATTAACTGATGTTAGTTAAATTTTAAGAATAATTAACTTACCTAAGTAGTCCAAAGGCAGCTTGAAAAGTACCCGCGAAGAAGGTTACAGTAAGCACGAGTTTTGTGTATGCAGCTGGATTAACAGCAGGATCTTCAAATTTCTGAATCATTGAGGACAAAAGTAGTGAAACAACAGCAACTGGTCCAATTGCTATATCTCTTGAACTCCCCATCATAGAGTAAATTAGCGGTGGGATAACACTCGTGTCTAGTGGAAATAATTAATAGAAATTTTTTAGTATGTTTTCTTAAATTTCATAAAATGGAAATGGAAAATAAAATCGCAATCTTGTAGTACAAGGCTTTGATCACTTACACAGGCCATATTGAGGATCAAGTTTTGCAAGAGTCGCGTAGCCAATGCTCTACATAAGTAATATATAATAGGAGTAAATTAACGATATCGTCCAACGAAGAATATTGTTGAAACAGGTGTGTTAATTTACCTGAGGGATGCAAAGGCTTGCAAGAGTTAAACCAGCCAAGATATCACTTTTGAATTTTGTTACATTGTATTGTTTACACCAAGAAAGTGGAGGAAATATGGTGTTGAGAATGGAAAAGAGTGCAGGAAGGGGCTGCTTTCCAATGCAGTGAAGCTTGTTTTCAAGAGGAGAGAATATTGTTTTCTTGAATGAAGTCTTCAGCTTGGAAAACAGGCCTGGTGGTTCCGGCACATTTAGTACCCAATTACGCCTTCGCTCATTCTCAGAAGCCATGGGTGTTTGAAGTGTTTGGGAGAACTGATCACATGTATTTTTCTGACTCTCAGCCAAAGTTGGAAGAGTTGTTCCTTCAACTGTTTGGGCCAAGTGTGAGGACTCTGTCTCACCTTCTCTTGATACAGCCATTTTCTTGAAGGAATTAATGTTTTGAAGGTGAAGATTAGGAGCTAAGGCCTCAAAGTCAATTGAAAGCCCTTGACAGAGCTCAAGTTGTTCAAAAGCACATCTTCAACTATTTAAAAGGCTTCATGATTAACTTTTTTAACTTGGAAAATCAATTTTTTAAATAAAAAAAAAAATTGTTGGAGAGAAACTGAATAGTACGTATTTCAAAAGGGAAAGTCGTCCCTCACTGGTTAAAAAGGTTGGGCTTGCGCACATGAGAAATGGTCCAAAAGACAAAAGTGGCACTTTTTTGGTACAAATCAAACCTAGTCAAGTTTTTTAATCAATTTGGTTTGACTTTTTGATTTGGTGCGGTTTTCTGGTTCGGTTTTGTTTGATGGCCTGATTTCTTGGTTCTGACGCTTGAACTCTTATAAATAGGGATACGAGGCCATTCATTCGTGTTTTGCATATTCTTCATATCGAATCCCTGTGTCTTCTTCTCTTTACTTCATTATTGTGTGTCTACTCTCCTGGTTCTGGTGATTCCAGTTGCTTCCAACCTTTCTGCACTTAAAATATCCTCTCTAAAAAATATGGTTAATGTACCCTCTGGTTTCGGTATGGAAACTGACTCTGTCCCTTTGTCCGTGCTTATGCCCCCTCATGCTGATGGTGTCTCTATCGAAATTGAAGATGAGAATTTTTCTACGGGGTCGATCTAGTTGAGCTTAGGGACAAATTCAACATTCCTGCTCACTTCGATCTGGTCCCAACAGGGCGTGATGTGGTACAAATACACAGCTCCGGGTATTGCGCGTTCTATGCATATCCTTTCTATGTCGGCTATACCCTTCCTCTTCTTCCATTGGCAGAGGAATTTTGCCGCTACTATAGCGTTTGTCCGGACCAACTCTCTCCATACATCTACAAGCTCATTAGGATGTTTACAAAATTTGTGGAGTTGGCCGGGGTCGAGGTCAGACTCTACCATCTGATGCAGCTCTTTGCCCCTAGTTTCTATAGGGGGACGATGTTGCACCTTCGCCACCGAGGAGGTAAATGCCTGGTGGTGAAGATGGTTGACAAGGCAAATTGCCAGTTTTGGCTCAACTACTTTTTCGCTAGAACCACAGACGTGGTGGCCAGCGCGAACGGCTTCCCTGAGACTTGGAATTATGCCCATAAGTATCTTTTGTCAAAAGCATTTGATTTGCCTACTTTAGTCGTAGGCTGAAATTATGTTTCTTCTTCGTACAGCCAAGACTATGCCCCCTCCTTTGGTTGGGGACATTCATGACTGGGTTGGCTAGGTTCTGCCTCACACTGTGAGGATTCGTGTGTGGCCGAGCTTTCTCAAGAGGTTCAGGCCTGCTTCTTCCTTGGCCGATGAGTTCATCTATATATATTTTTGCTGTTTTGACCTCATGGTCGCTTGCTCGCTGCAACTTATTCTTGGTGGTGATAACCTTCAATCTTTCTTTTTCAGTCCGAGGATCTTCGAGGAGGTCGAAGGCTCCTCCTGCTGCATTTCGTAAGAGGAAGGCCGCCTCTTCTTCGACGTCTATTCCCCTTGTGACTGCAGCTAGGACGGCTCGATCATCTGCTCATGTTTCTTTCTCAACCGCGGCCAGGTCCGCTCGATCGTCGACCCCATCTGTTGCTGCCTCCGTGTCGGTTTCTTCTCCACCTGCGGATACTTCGACAGCGGAGCTTTTGGCTTCCCCCTAAACCGTCTTGTGGACGAGAAAGGGGAGTCATCGCCGAGTGGCAAGAATTGGTTCCTTGTAAAAGAAGATCGATGGACATCGGCGATGGGGTTACCCGGGCCGTAGATTCGACAATGGAAGATTACGTCATACGCAAAACGACGACCATAGTACTTGAGGATGATGTCGAGTTGTCGTCTGAGATTCCGCCATCACCTGAGGCCGCAGAGGGTGTGTCTCCCGATGCCACGATTGAAGTCGATGGGCCGTTTCTGAGGGTTTCTGATACTTTACGATAAGATGATCCATTGACCTTGCGACCGACTGATGGTCCTTCTTTGCCGGCTGACGGGAGAGGTAAAGGTGTTGCCGAGGATGGCTACGAGATAGGCTCTGATCATGACGCCAAGGAGATTAGGATGATGGGGGAATGATTTACCTGGCTAGAAGTAAGACTAGAGGGGTCCATGCAGAATATTGCGATCCCCATCGATCGAGATTTATTGGTGAATATGGAGAACGTGGTTCCTTCCCAGGTCCCCTCTTTTCCGACTTGGAGGGTAAAACCCTTGAAATACTGGATGACACTAAGTTATCAAGGAGCATAGCCGGCCTTACTCTCAGGGTATGCTTTTCCATTGGCCTCGCTTTCAGGGTATGCTTTTCAACTTTTTTCAAGTTCAACGTTTTAGGCTTCGTTCTTACTTTTCGTTCTCTTACTTTTTTAGACTGTGGTTTGGAAACTGAAAGCGCCCGAAGAGAGGAACTTTGTAGATGGTTTGGTGCGAGCGGCACTTTTCAGGCTCTTCGAGATGAACTGAAGGAGAAAGATGATGAGCTGATGAGGATCACCGCAAAATGCAGCATTCTTGAGGGGACGTTGAGAACCAAAGAAGAAGAGCTCGAGGTCGGCAAAGGGGTCGAAGCTCAATGCGGCGATCTCCAAGCCCAGGTGGTCTCACTGCGTGCCGAGCTCAAATAATGTCAATTCAAAGCGGATGCTTTGTGCGGCGAGGTCATCGAGAAGGTAGAGGATCTTGAGAAGGAAAATTTAGCTCGGTTGGGGGCTATGAGGAAGGCTGAGGCTTTGGAGATCGTGATCCGTATTCTTCGTTCCGAGCGAGAAAGTGCCTTGGAGATGGCGAGGCTCAAAGAGGAATGACTTGATGAACAGATTGGAGAATTGGAGAAAGAGGCTTCTGGCCTTTGTGATCGAGTCGTCGCTCTTGAAGCTGAGAAGGCTCAATTACTAGCTCGGCCGTCCTCTTCCCGTACTTTTGATTTTCCTAATGTTCCCTGAGATTTGTACGAGGAGTGGATTTACGTCAAGGTCTAGCTGGATATATTCAAATATCTGATGAGGGCGAGAACCATTTCGGAAGCCGTCTTCGAGGATGTTCATGCTAAGGCACACGGAGCTCGGGTAGCTTGTGGCTATGATCCTGCTACACCGGAGGTCGGTGACGATGAGGGTGATGCGGGCGTGGACCGGATCGAAGAGGACGCCTGGTATGAGGATGAGTATCCTGAGGGCGGTGGTGATGGTGAAGGGGCGGTTGGGGATGGCCCAGGTGATCAGGCCGATGGCGCTGCCGGGCCTGGCAGCGATCAATAGTTTTTCTTTTCCTTCTTTTTATTTTTTCAAAAACTTGTGCGTTTTTTGTGGGCGTCTTTTCAAGCCTTTGTAAAAAATATTCTAAAACTATGAAATATCAGTTTTGTTATTTGTACCTGATTCTTTTTCTTTGGTTCGTGCTTGTATGCCCTTTGATCTTGTTGTTTGGCTGTCTTTGTTTTCTTAGTCGTAATCACTTAGCTCGAATAGGGTTGAACACATCCTTAGTTTAACTACGGCCGCGGGTCAGCTGGTGTTAGTTCGAACGAGGTCGAAACAAAACCCAAGTTTGATCATGGTCGAGGGCTAGTGGAGGTTAGTTAGAACGAGGTCGAACATATCGTATGTTTATTTATGGTCGAGGGCCGGTTAGGTGTTAATTCGAATGATGTCAAATATAACCTGTACTTAGTTATGGCCTAGGGCTGGTTAGGTGTTGATTCGAAGAGGTCGAATATTACGTATACTTAGTTGTGGCCGAGGGCTGGTTAGGTATTGATTCAAGCAAGGTCGAATATTACCTATACTTAAGTTATGGCTGAGGGCCAATTAGGTGCTGATTCGAGCAAGGTCGAATATAACCTATACTTAGTTATGGCCGAGGGTCGGTTAGGTGTTGATTCGAGCAAGGCCGAATATAACCTATATTTAGATATGGACGAGAGCCGGTTAGGTGTTGATTCGAACGAGGCCGAATATAACCTATATTTAGTTGTGGCCGAGGGCTGTTAGGTGTTGATTCGAACGAGGTTGAATATAACCTATATTTAGTTGTGGCCGAGGGCCGGTTAGGTGTTGATTTGAACAAGGTCAAATATAACCTATATTTAGTTGTGGCCGAGGGCTGGTTAGCTATTGATACGAACGAGGTTGAATATAACCTATATTTAGTTGTGGCCGAGGGCTGGTTAGGTATTGATTTGAATGTTGTCGAGTATAACCTATGTTTAGTTATGGCCGAGGGCTGGTTAGGTGTTGATTCGAATGAGGTCAAATATAACCTATAGTTAGTTGTGGTCGAGGTCCAGTTAGGTATGCCTCTTGGTGCGGCATTTGTCGGTGTTGTGAACTTTTAAGCGACGTTGCCTTGGTTGTACATTTGGAGTAATAGAAATAAACTTCATGTATTTGTGCTTTTTTCATAACTTGGAGAAATTTACATATTTTTTCGGGCGTTGGTTGGCGTTTTAGTTCCAGTCCTAGTCTATTTAGTCCCTTCATCGGTCGAGCTGGAGAAGTCTTGAGAGGTCGAGCAATGAACTAACCATCCTGTGCCTCCGTCTGTGCACACTTCAACCTGAAGTGTCCCCTTCGTCGCCTCGTTAAAAACCTCCTTGAGAAAACCCAATTGGGACAGAACTCAAGTGAGGGAAAAAAGAGTACGACTTGGAGGACGATCTTTATTAAAAGTTGAAATACTTGAGGTGGGTGATAATCCAGTTGTTTGGTAGTAGTTTTCCTTCCATTGTTTCTAGTTGGAATGACCCTTTGTTCGCTGTTGCCTTGATTTTGTATGGGTCGTCCCAATTTGTTCCCAATTTACCTTCCCGTGGGTCTTTGCTTGCTCGTATTTTAGCTTTCAGCACGTAGTCCTCGACTTTGAGTGGTCTGACCTTTGCCTTTTTGTTATAATAGCGTTCTGCCTGTTGTATTTGGGCGATCATCCTTACGTAGTCCATATCTCTTCGTCGAGCTCTTGCCTTCTCCTTTCGTCGTTCCTCAGCCCGCTCTTGTTGGAGTATCTCAGACTGAGCTCTCCGACTTCGACCGGTATTACAGCATCAGTCCCACAGACTAATGAGTAAGGCGTCTCTCATGTGCTTGTCTTTGGCGTTGTTCAGTAGGCCCAGAGTACTTCTGGTAGTATTTCCGGCCATAGCTGTTTTGCGTCTTCGACTTTTTTATTCATGATGTTTAGTATCGACTTGTTAGAGAACTCCACTTGCCCGTTGCCTGCGGGGTTATACGGAGTTGAGAGTATTCTTTTGATATGCCATTTCTCAAAAATTTCTACGACTTTTTTTCCTGTAAATTGGGTTCCATTGTCGCAGCTGATCACCTTGGGGAGGTCGAAAAAACATATGATGTTTTTCCATATGAAGGCGATCACATCCTATTCATTTATTTGGGCGAATGCTCCTGCTTCTACCCACTTAGAGAAATAGTCAGTTAAAACTAAAAGAAATCGTACGTTACCTCGCCCTATCAGGAGGGGGACCACGATGTCCATTCCCCATTTGATGAATGGCCAAGGGAATTGACTAAGTGGAGGTGCTCTCCTGCTTGGTGGATCATTGGGGTGTACTTTTGGCACTGCTTGCATTTTTCAACGAAATTCACAACCTCGTTTTTCATGGTGGGCCAGTAATACCCTACTCGTATGAGGCATCTGACCAAAGCCTGGTTTTCGAATTGAGCTCCGCAGTGGCTTTCGTTGACCTCTTCAAGGATGCGCCGTGTTTGATTTGGGCTCGGGCATTTCGCTAGAGGGCCACTATATGTTCTATTGTACAGGTCGTTGTGAATGATGTTGTACCTGGCTGCTCGCATTCGCAATTTATTGGCCTCTTTTTTATCAACTAGAAGTACAACAAGTATGTAAAAAGACGGTTGCGCCAGTCCCAAGTCAGGTTTATGGTTCTTACCTCGATTAGAGCTATCGATGAGTTGAGAAGGTAGACTACACTTCTGTCTCCAGTTGCAATGTTTTTGGTGGTTGCGGCTAATTTAGCGAGGCCGTTCGCCTCGGCATTCTGTGCTCGGGGGATATGGTCAAGTTTACATTCGTCGAACGCGGGCAGCAACTTGCAAATTTCGATTTGGTATTTTTGTAACCTCTGTTCCTTGATTTGAAAGTCCATTTGACTTGATTGACCACGAGTTGAGAATCGTAGCGTAGTGTCAACCGTTTTGCCCCGTATTTAAGCGCCAACCTTAGCCCTGCAATTACGGCCTCATACTCGGTCTCGTTGTTCGGGCATCTTATGGATTGGGGAATCACTTCACCGGTGGGGACTTGCTTTCTCAGAACAAGACTGTGCTCACAGCCACTTCGGTTACGGCAAGGTAGACGAGGAGACCTTCCCCCGACTCTGATGTTGAAAGCAGTGGTGGTGATGACAAGTATGCTTTTAGTTCCTTCAGGTCTTGAACACACTCTGAAGTCCATTAGAGGTCGTTATCTTTCTTGAGCACGCTGAAGAATTTGTGATACCTATTTGATGATAGCGAGATGAATCTTGAAAGGGCGGCGACATGCCCAGTCAACCTCTGAACCTATTTTTTGGTGGTCAAGTGCTCCGGTATCCCTTCGATGGCTTTGATTTGATCGGAGTTGACCTCGATACCTCGCTGTGATACTAGGAAACCTAAGAATTTTCCTGAGGCCATACCGAATGCACACTTTTCGGGGTTCCGTTTCATTACGTATCGTCTGAATATGTCGAAGGTTTCTCTCAAGTGGTCGATGTGATCTTCTTTCCTTTTGGACTTGACCAGTATGTCGTCTATGTAGACCTCCATCATTTTACCAAGTTGGTATTTGAACATCTTTGTTACTAACCTTTGGTGCGTTGCCCCTGCATTTTTTAGTCCGAAGGGCATGACTCGCTTCCATTGTCTACCATAATGCGTCTCACATCGGTATCTAAAATTAGTAAAGTGATAACAATGGGCATCATAGTAAGGGAAGACCAAACCGTGGGTATCTGACTTATGGCAGATGATATTTTCTTCGAGTTCGTCATACCGTTCGTGGGTAATCAACCGTTTGAGCTAATGGGTTATGGTGAACTTCACGCTGTTGATAGAAGCATCATCGCCGTCGCTGATGATCATATGGAGGGTGTGGGTTGGGGAGGGCGGTTTCGGCGGTCCCTGATGCTGTTCGCGGGCTCTAGCAAAGTTGGTCCTTCCTCGGTCGCTCAGCAATTCTTTGACGTTTCCTTGTCGAAGCATGTTTACGGCCTCTTATCTTAGGGCGATGCAATCCTCGGTTTTGTGTCCTCGTTCTTGGTGGAACTCGCAAAGGGCATCCGACTTTCTAGTACTGGGGTCTAACCTTATCTTTTGTGGCCACTTCACCTTTGGTCCGAACTTCTCTAAGGCGTAGACTATTTCTGTAGGTGACATACAAAAATTGTGAGCGGATAACAAAAGGGGCATACCTCTTTCGTGGCGGGAGGATGCAATGGCGCTTATGACAAATGGCACATGTCATTCCCTGTTGGGATACGGAGCTGCAGGGTCCCTCCTGATATCATTTCTTCGATCTTTTCTGGATTCGTCTTGTACCGAGGTCAGCCGATGAGTCGGCCCATTGAGGTCGTGCTCTTCTGCTCGGACCTCGGCACAATATGCGTTGTGTATTTCATCCCAAGTATTTAGGGGGTACCTCATAAGCTGACTTAATAACTTTCTCGTCGCCCTCGAACCATTTCTGCTCAGCCCGTTCTGAAAAGCTGCAGCCACCATCCTATCTGATACATTCAGCAAGGTCATTCTTACCCGGTTGAAACGGGCGAGGAAGTCCCTCAGTCCCTCTCCCGGAGATTGTTTAATGGCAAATATGTCGTTTACTCTCGCTTCGGGCCTTTTGGCCCCGGCATGGGCCGTTACGAACTTGTCGGCCATTTCTTCGAAGGTCTCGATGGAACGTGCAGGCAGTTGTAAATACCATGTTAATACTCCTCCCGTGAGGGTCTCACAGAACTTTTTCAACAAAATGGAGGATACTTGTTCCTTGGCGAGATTGTTGCCTTTCATGGCGGTGACGTAGTGAGTTACATGGTCTTCGGGGTCGGTCGTGCCATCATATATTTTCAGATAGGGCGGCATTTTAAAGGTCACTAAATGGTTGTTTGACAAATCGGGCAGCATCCCTCTTCGGTAAGAGCTTTGGGGCGCCCGGTATCTTATCGACCCTTTCTTGGTGTTCTCTCATTTTATACCGATGCGCTTTGTTCTCGTTCTCCATTTCCTCCATCCTTTTCAGAATGGTTGTGAGGGTGTCGTCACCTGCACTGTTAACGACATTGTGAGTAATACCTGTTGTCGGAGGAAACTGGTCATGCTGCTCGGCCTCTAGTGGTATAACGCAAGTCCTTTCGTTTTCTGTAGCCGTGTCCTGGGCGGGCTTATGGAGGACGCTGGTTAGCGTGCCAGTTAGCCAAGCCTCAAGGAGCTTTTTACTGCTGGTGGCGTCTCTTCCACCACGGATGTGGAGGCTCCATTACCGAGAGATTTTATGATGATATAGTGAGAAAGGGGTGATCCACCTCGCCTAGGGGAGGCATTGGGCGTTGGATCCTCGTCCACTACTTCAGAACTCTCATTGATGGTGTTCATGAGGTTGGTTGGGAGGTCACCCATTATTCTCGTCCTTTCTTCTCTATTACCTGCCATATTAGATATGTGGATACAAAGAAAGGAGATCTTGTTCTTGTCCCTTTTTTTTAAGTTAGCAGTCCGTGTTAATTATAGATCTAGAGGAAACTAAAAATTTAACTAAGAAATCCTCACAGACGGCGCCAAGTTATTTGACCAAAGAGTATAACTTTCGGTTAAACTATTGTATTTATATAATGATGGGTTAAACCTAGTTAATGATAATATCTCTAAATATGGATCTTGAAAGTGTGGATAATGTGTGACTAATTTAGTGGGAGATTGATAGTAATATATATTTAATATTCCAAAAAGTATGAGCAATAATGAAGGAGTAAGCAATAAATAACAATAAATGATATTTAAGTAACTAGGAGGAGCGATTCACCCAATAATGAATGAACTAGATGATTATTTCTCCTGGCAATGATTAGTGATAGATAAATCCTAGAATGTTCGGACTATTGTTGGATCTGATGGAAAAATATGGAATAATGTGAGCAAGAATATTGACAAAAAGGTAAAGTTTGTATCTTTGCTAGAGAGAGAGAATCTTTTTCTGAAAAGTGTTCTTGTCAAGTGAATATTACATGCCCTTATTCATTGACGTTTTTTCTATTTCTATGGGACATACCCCATAAACCCTAATACTACATATGCACATAATATCCAATGGAATACTCTCTTTAATATCCTATTCTAATAAACTGGCTATTACAACTCTTTTTGCGGTGCTCGACATCGACCATTGTTTACACCCTGACCACGAGCCTTAGCTTGATATCTCTTGGTCGATCTCGACTGACTCTTTCCTTGATGTTATTTTGCACTAAGTACTGAAACAGATTTTGACCTCTACAGGTTTGTACATCCCTACTAGATAGTATACGTTTGATACACGAAATGCTGACTTGGTAGCTGAGTAGGATGCCAAGTAGGATTTTTCAAATGTGTTAGTTGAAATTTGAAAAGTTAGTTAATGGCGGGAAAATTTGTTAGTTGTTATTTTTGATTTTCAGCATTGCATTTCAATTCCTTTTGCTTTAAATAGTGAATTGTAATAGATGAAAAGCAATTATTGAATATAAGAAAATTTTGTCCCAAATCTCTCTTCTGATCCCTCTTTCTCTCTTCTTCTACTTCCTCTTCTCTTCTTTTCCCTTCTTTTCTCCTCTTTTCTCCTTTGCTACATCCTTAAGTTGCTGCATGATATCCTTTGGGTATCAATTGGTATCAGAGCCCTGCGATTTTGATGGGACCTCGACGAGCTATTGATGATATCCCAAGTGTTCCAGCTGCTAATCTTCAAGAGCAATATGAGGATTTAGCAGCTCAACAACTGGATTTACGAGCTAGTATGGATCAGATGCACCAGGAACTTAAGGAGGACATGGATCGCAGGCAAATGGAACTTGTTCAATTGGTCAGTGCTCTGAAAAGTTCCTTCAACGGAATGCATTTGCAACAACAGATGAAGGACGGAAGTTCCACATCTACGGATCGAGTTCAAAATATTGCACCAGGTCAGGGTATTTTTGGGTCCAAATCCTCAATATGCTGCTAATAATCGTAATCACAATCTGGTATTTCCTCGTTTTAATGGTGAAAACTTAAAAAATTGGTTGTATCGAATTGAGCAATACTTTGACATCGACAACACTCCTCTTAATGAACGAGTAAGATTAGTAGCTATGAACTTAGATGATGAAGCTTTCGCTTGGCATCAAGCTTTTTTAAAGTGTAGAGGTGTACCCGGCTTACCTGAATGGGAGGAGTATCTGGCTGTATTGGTTGAAACCTTTGGGGATGAGTTTGCTGATCCTATGCTCGAATTAAAACAATTGAAACAAACTGGTACAGTGAGGGAATTTTAATTTACATTTGATAGGCTTGTTTCACAGTGTAGCCTATCAGTAGATCAAGCAATATCTTGCTTCTTAGGTGGATTGAAGGAGGAGTTAGTTCATCCTATTATGATGCATGAACCTAAGACTCTCTCAAAGACCTATCGATTAGCTAGCCTTGCTGAAGCTACCCTAGCAGCTAATGCTCGCAGCATGAAACTATCTCCTGGAACTTATCAACATATTAACAGGAAACCTTCCTATGAGTTGCAGGCCACTAAAACTCCTAACTCACAACTCTCAACTATCCCTAAAACAGCCTTACTCCCTAATAATACCTCCAGTTCCAAAACTAGGAGAGTGATTTCTCCAGCAGAATGCAAGCAAGAAGGGCTCAGGGATTATGTTACTTTTGCAATGATAAGTACACCCCTAGGCATAAATGCTCCTTACCTAAGCAGATGTTCATTATGGATTTGGATTACCCAGGATGTGAGATGGAGGAGGATCATGTGAAGCCAGAGGAAGCTTCACCAACTGAGGAATGGAATGTACCAGATGGAGACCCTCCCTTAATCTCCTTATGTGCTTTAAGTGGTCTTAAAGGGGCTCAAACTATCCATGTGATTGGGTATAGCAATGAAAAGCCTATTCAAATATTGTTAGATGGGGGCAGTACACACAACCTCATTGATGCTGAGACTGCAGATAGGTTGGGGTGTCACATCTCTCCAACTAAACTGGGCTATGTCAGCTTGGGCAACAACACTATGGAGGCTACTTCTGGGGTAGTAAGGGGTTTCCAATGGATGTTGCAAGGGACTACTTATACCTCAGATTTGATTGTCTTTCCTGTTGGGAAGTATGACTTGGTTTTAGGGGCCCTATGGATGAAGACATTAGGTCCTATTACTATGGACTACACTGAGCTTACTATGTCCTTTGATTATCAGGGTAAACACCATGTATTGAGGGGTTTTACTGAGGAGTGTAAACTTTCAAGTTCTAAGGCTATCAATAGGAACTGTAGTGCAGGGGCTCAGTTCTTCATGTTGGAAGTGGTTTCTCCTAGGACTTTGGAGGAGTGTCACCCTCATTTTAATGCACTTCACTTACCTGTTGAAGATCCATTGCCAGAGGCCCTTCAGAAATTGCTTGACCAGTATCAATTGCTTTTTAAGGAGCCAACATCTTTACCACCTCAGAGGGGAGTTTTTGATCATAGAATTCCGCTACAGGAAGGGACTAAACCAGTGAATATCAGGCCTTACAGGTACTCTTCTATGAAGAAGGATATTATTGAAAAACTTGTGTTGGAAATGTTACAACAAGGTGTTATCCAATATAGCAATAGCCCTTTTTTCTTCACCAGTGGTTCTAGTGGGAAAAAAGGATAGATCATGGAGACTGTGTGTTGACTATAGGGAACTAAATCAGTGCACAGTTAAGGAAAAATTTCCTATCCCTATCATTGATGATCTATTAGATGAGCTTACTGAGGCTACAGTCTTCTCTAAAATTGATCTCGGATCCGGATATCATCAGATTAGGATGGTACCTGAGGACATTCCAAAGACTGCTTTCAAGACTCATTCAGGCCATTATGAGTACCTTGTCATGCCATTTGGTTTGACAAATGCCCCTTCTACCTTTCAATGCCTTATGAATCACCTACTCCAACAATTTTTAAGGAAGTTTGTATTGGTCTTCTTTGATGACATTTTGGTTTATAGCAAGCATCTGCAGGATCATATCCACCATCTTCAACAAGTATTTGAAGTCATGCAGTCTAATAGCTTATTAGCTAAACACTCTAAGTGTGTTTTTGGAGTAGCAAGGGTTGAGTATTTGGGTCATTTTATCTCTGCTGCAGGTGTTGCAACAGATCCAAAGAAAATATTGGCTGTGCAACAGTGGCCTGTGCCTACCACCTTGAAGCAACTCAGAGGTTTTCTTGGTCTTGCTGGATACTATAGAAAGTTTATCAAATCCTATGGCCTTATTAGTCAACCTCTCACTGAACTACTCAAGAAGGACAATTTCAAATGGACACCTAGTGTTGAACTGGCATTTATTGCTTTAAAGAAGGCCCTTACTACTGCTCCTGTCCTAGCCTTACCCAACTATTCTCTCCCTTTTGTGATTGAAACTGATGCTAGTGGCACTGGTATTGGAGCTGTTCTCATGCAAGAAGGCCATCCTATATCCTTTATCAGCAAGGGCTTGGCCCCCAGGCATGCTGCTCTTTCTGTCTATGAGAAGGAGCTGTTGGCACTTGTTTTTGCTGTTAGCAAATGGTCTCATTATCTGCTGGGACATCATTTTATTATACGAACTGATCAGAAAGCTTTGAAGTATTTACTTGAGCAGAAAATCCACACAGATGCCCAAATCAAATGGATAGCCAAGCTTTTGCCCTTTGACTTTGAAATTCACTACAAGAAGGGCCGGGAAAATGTCGCTGCTGATTCTTTATCTAGAGTTCAAGGTGCTGAACTAATAACCCTATTAGTTTCTTCTGTTTCTACTGAATTATGGGAAGAAATCATGGCCAGTTGGTCTGTTGATCCTCAGCTAAGTTCCCTCATCTCATCCTTACAACAGGCTCCTCAGAAAAACTTCACATGGATCAACCATCAACTTAGAAGAAAGGGCAAACTGGTGATTGGTAATAATACTGCTCTCAGAACTAAGTTACTCACCTTATGGCATTCAACTCCCACTGGAGGCCAATCTGGCTTAGATGCTACCACCAGGAAGGTACTTTCCTATTTTTATTGGAAGGGCATCAGGAAGGACATTGCCACATTTATCCTCAACTGTACCATATGTCAAAGGAACAAGTATGATACCTCAGCCCCCCTGGTCTTCTTCAACCTCTTCCCATTCCTTCTTTAACTTGGACTGACATTACTATGGATTTTATTGAGGGCCTACCAAAGTCCAAAGGTAGGAATGTCATTTGGGTCATAGTTGATCGATTAACCAAGTATGGCCACTTCCTTGCCCTCACTCACCCCTATACTGCCCAAACTTTGGTCCCCGTTTTTTGGACCACATTTTTAAACTATATGGGTTCCCTGCTTCTATTACCAGTGATCCAGATCCTATCTTTATTAGGTCCTTTTGGAAGGAGTTCCTTACAGCTCAAGGCATCACACTACAGACCTCCACTGCTTACCATCCTCAAACTGATGGCGAAAGTGAAGTGCTCAACAGGTGTCTTGAGACTTATTTGAGGTGTTTCTGTACTGACTCCCCTGTAGATTGGTCCTTGTTCTTACCATTAGCTGAGTGGTGGTACAATTCCACCCCTCACTCCTCCATTAAAACATCCCCCTTTGAACTCCTTTACGGTTATCCTCCACCTTTACACCTTGCTTACCTTCCTAGTGACATTGACTCTCCTGCGATTGAGGACATCTTACTTACCAGAGAATTCAAACTTCAAATGGCCAAGTTTCATTTGCATAGAGCTTAGCAACGCATGAAGACTCAGGCTGATGCTCACAGGTCTGGCAGAAACTTCAATGTTGGAGACTGGTGTTTGTTAAGTTGCAACCTTATCGACAGTCTACTTTAGCCGGTTCTCCTTACCACAAACTCACCCCCCGTTACTTTGGCCCTTATCCCATTGCTGAAAAGATTGGTGCTATTGCTTATAAGCTCTTGGTACCCCCTGAGGTTCTTATCCACCCCACCTTTCACATTTCTCAGCTTAAACTCTGTCACTCTCTCCCCTCTGAAATCATCCATCCTCCTATCATTGATCTTTCTAGCCATCTGTGTCCTGTACCTGAAGCTATCCTTGCTTGCCGTTTAATAAAAAAGGGCAACAAGGCTGTTGCCCAATGCCTTGTCAAATGGTCTCAGCTTGATGCTTCTTATGCCACATGGGAGTTGGTTTCTGCCCTTCGCACTCACTTTCCAGATTTCACCCTTGAGGACAAGGGTGCTCTTCCACATGAGGGTATTGATACACGAAATGCTGACTTGGTAGCTGAGTAGGAGGCCAAGTAGGATTTTTCAAATGTGTTAGTTGAAATTTGAAAAGTTAGTTAATGGCGGAAAAATTTGTTAGTTGTTATTTTTGATTTTCAGCATTGCATTTCAATTCCTTTTGCTTTAAATAGTGAATTGTAATAGATGAAAAGCAATTATTGAATATAAGAAAATTTCGTCCCAAATCTCTCTTCTGATCCCTCTTTCTCTCTTCTTCTACTTCCTCTTCTCTTCTTTTCCCTTCTTTTCTCCTATTTTCTCCTTTGCTACATCCTTCAGTTGCTGCGTGATATCGTTGCGTGATAACCTTTGGGTATCAACATTTCTGTCTTTTATAAAATTTTATTTGACTGTTGAGCACTTAGAATGTAATTCTCTTCGTGGTTCCTGCGTGAACTTAATTGAGGTAGCCAATCCGAGGTAAATTTGTCGAAAAGGTGAAGTACCCTCCTTAGAATTTCTACTGGTCTATGAGTTTTCGGAGAAAAAGTGAAATATTCTCCACTTAAAAAAAACGTGATAAAAATCTGAAACCGTACACCACCGATAGCGCCTAGAATGCAATAAAGGGCTATTTGGTAAGCGGACAAAATTATCCCGGGATTATAATCCTAGGATTATAGACTATTTTATCCCACTTGGTAGGTGGGATAAGATCGGATATCTAGGATTTAGTTTGGACTAAGTTTATACTATGTTTGGTTGGCAGTATAAATTTATTCCCATACACTACAGATAGCGCCTATCGGTATACCCTAGGCGCTAATAAGTTTATACTTTATACTATCCCGGTATAAATGGTCACCAGGGTATACTGATGCATGTAATGCTTCATTATTTAGCTGCTTTCATTTGAGCAGTGCATGTGAAAGAGATATCCTAATTAGATGATCAAAATCTTATCTCCGTTGAGGTCTTTATCCTCAATTACTCCAAGCATTTGCCTGGACGTTCAAGCTTCCGCAGATGAGACCTGGAAATAATTCAGTTTGAAATTTAGGTTCTATTTTGCCAATGAAAAAGTAGTGCAGCCAACGGAGGGCCAAGAACATGTATTTTCACTGCTGAGAGACAGTGCGATACATTGATTGAACAGTAAGATTCTCTGTTATAAACTGGTAATGCTCTAGATTACTTCAACAATCAAGATTTTTCTTTAGTTATCAGCCATATGTCAGCTTCTAATTAAAAGTTCAGTTCTATCTAGTCAATGTTGAGTAAGGTACAGAGGAGCCACTATCATTACTTCGTTTTCACAACTATCCTTAATCTGTTAAAGTGTGTCACTATTTCATCTAAACATTTAGTCTATTAGACAGGATACGCCCTTCATGTGAAGGGGCTGATTCTTTTTCATGGGTCATTAATCATGCGATTTTTTTTAATAATAGGAGCGGTTAGTGGCGAAGCCACATGGTCATAAGAGTGGTCAACTGACCACCCTTTGTCGAAAAATTGCACTATATGCATAGGTAAAATATTAGGTATATAACATATATTGAACACTCTTTATCAGAATTTTTTTTACTTCTTTAAAATTTGAAAACCCTTGGAGAAATTCCTAACTTCGCCACTGATTGCTGTGACACTTCACTAAAAACATAATTTTCCTACTGCTTCAATATTATCATCTAAAGACAAACTATCGAAGAAGTACACTTTTATTTACATATAATTAGTTATACTTTTACAATATTCTGACAATTTTGGTGGAAACAATCAAATTATTTAACAGGACAAAGATTTTTGCTGTTTCTTTAAACTCCAGAACAGACATGCATAATCAGAAGTGGCTAGACCAATTAGTGAGGTAAACAGTATAGCACTTCAAGTTTGACTCTGCGTTGTTTGTGCTCCACTGATTACTACTACTACTACAGATCTGAGAAATGGTTCTCAAATCCACTCTTTTTGGGTTCCACGGTCCACAGTATTCTGATGACGATGCTATTAACGAATAAACAAAGTAGAACTTTATTGAAAAGTTAAAATACCTTTCTGTCAAAGGACTATATTTAACTGAGTCGAAATGGTGAACTAGATCTAGGTTTCATATTTAGCCTAATATCCTGTCTATATACAATCTTTACTTCCACATTGCCTTTTTTACAGGCTCTATTCATTCACCAATTAATTATGTTCATTATATAAAGTATTGAATGCTTTAGTTTAGGTCGTGATGTGATATGTCAAGGTTAAATTAGCATGATCTTGATGACCACGAGGTAAACAGATACCAAATGAAAGACTGTAGTCTGTAGATAATATTATATTCCATAAAAATGTAAGCACTAAAATTTTCAAGTCCAATTGCAGCTAAGTGTATAGAAGCAATATTCATCTTGAAGAGTTAAGTCATTGCTGAGCCCTTTCGCTGTTTCACTTTTTTCATTTTATGATGTTTGAAATAATGGTTTAAAAGTCAAGGTACATTCTTTTTTCCTTTTTCACGTTCCTAAGAAAGATCGAGACAACCTTTTTTCTTTTTTCTTTCTTTTTTTTTTTTATTTT